TTACCATATGCAAGAGCCATGGTCTGCCTTCTTTCACCATGTTCGCTCAAGTGTGGGCCGAGAATAATAGCTGAAAAGCGGGCTTAGGATCTCAATCTTTACAGTGTATCTAGGCGCCTCCCGGCACGAAGGGGTTAAGGTTAACCTAGTATAAACAAGTATGCAGTGTACATGTATAGCCTATGTTATGCCAAAGAATTAGGCTAATGAATAAAAATGTCGAATTCGGTTTAAGATTATTTGGATCTTGACCTGTGGAAAAAGACATGTAAGTCATTTTGTTTTGTTGCTACCTGAGGCCTTTCACTATAGGTCATGCCCACATGGGCTGCCCCAAGCTTAATACAGTGCTCCCCTTTCTTATGAAAAAGTATGACACGCCCCCAAAGGGGGATAAACAAAAATATGTAATCAAAGTATGTTTTGTACATGCGGTTCACTGTACTGGATGCCAATAAGAGAAGTAAAGACACCAAGATGGTCCATTACAACATGGTTTTCTACGAATCGCATCTGTCCCCACTTTGTATTAATATGGCCCCGCCCCCAAAAGAAGCAAAAGCATCTAACAGAAGTACATGTGTACAGTACACATGTACATCTGCATCCCCCAAAAGCCAAAATGGCTTGGCACAGGTTATCATGCAATATGCATTTATGCATTAGTGCCACTGACCTTGTTTGGGTGTGCTATTATCTGTCACTTTGACCCTCCTTTATCTCCCCTGTCACAGTGCTCATGTTGGCATGGTCCTTGCTCATGTGCCAATTTAACTGCATGCGGTTGTTTTTGCCCTTCAGGAAGCTTCAAATGTATCTCAGGGAGGTGGGGTGAACCAATTTGAAATTGACTCTGTTGTTGACGACAGTCATTTCCTCTGACATTCAAGATTAAATGGCAGGAATGTACATGTACATGATTCATAATGGTTGTGAAGGCCTCTGTGTTTCCCTTGATGGTGCTGCGGTGGGAACCATTTTCCAACAGGTACCGGTACTGGCGGATGCATACACGTACATGTACGTGTCCAGTCCATGTACCAGCACGTGTACAATTTACATGTCAATCAATTAGTATGAAAATGACGTTCAGTGTAGATAAAAACCCCACCTCCGGCATCAAGTTTCTGCTTGCATACAGCTGTTCAGATTCATGTTCCTCAATGAATGTTGCTTCTTTGAAATCAACAGATGATCTTGACTTACTGAGTCAATTATAATCTGTTTTTTAATCAAAACACTAAAGGCCTGGTAACAATTATTGACAAAATTATCCTTGGTTGCAGCCTTCTTTGAAGTCCGAAATTCATTGATGTTGCAATTGTAAATGACGTACATGTACATATACCGGTCATAACAGTGTACATGTATGTACATGTACACCGTAAATGTTAAACCCCCTCTGTGGCAGAAAGTGGCTCTGCCCCCAGCATGCTGAAGTGTAGACATAGCTAGACATTACCACTTTTTTGTAGGTAAAAGTTTTGGCTTAGGCGCACTGGTAAAGTTGTGAGTGATAGATGTATTATGCAAGTTGTGACAAATTTCTTACCCGTGGTTTAACAAAGTCGTTTGGTCTCAGATGCAAATTGGTGTTACCTACCGGTACTGTTTGGCCGACAGTTATTAACGGTGTCCTGTCTGGCAGAGCGCAGAACTTGACTCACAGAGGCACAGCACAACCACCATGGGACGTGGCACCCTATTGGGATGATACTGTCACACATTTTTGTACAGCTGTTGGAGAGTTGCAACTATCTGTTGACTTAACTGCTGTGGAAGTTTCCTCTTAAAATTTTGGCTAGGGTGGCATTCCAAACGTTGTGGGGGATCAATGGCCTAACTTTTTTGCGGTCAAGGAAGCTTCCTATCAAGTATTGTGTTGCTTTCAAATGTACTGTATGGAAACTTTGCTGGATGGTTCACTTCTTGGTACCTTATCCTACTTTATCAAGCATACCGGTATGCTGGAATGACAGAGATAACGCTACGTGTATGTCGTGTTGTGAATTCTGAACTTTTGATGAACTTACTTGTACGACAGCTATAAACCTTGTAAGTCAGTTTCATGAAACCTCAACTTGGTGCTCAGCTTTGGTAAACCAGCACAGTGAGAAGTGTGCCTTGGGTCATACTTGCTGCAGACATTACATTGAGAGTTGCCTGAGTCCAGTGTACAAGTACATGTACATTATTTTGAACCCCACATGCTCTAAGCGATCAGTCGAAGACTTGTCCTCGGAAGTTTTCAAATCGCCATGACGACAACAGTGGAGCTGTCCAGCTTGACCCCGGAGGGACTGACCATTTCCATCGATCCCGCAGTAGTGTTTTCAGATCTCTTGTTCAATGCTGATCTGGCTAGAGGACGTTGTGTGAGTTGAAGGGCGGGCAGTGAAGATGCCTGCCACTGTTTTCTTTTAAAGGGACTGCATGCGTATTAATAGTACAGGCATGCAACTTTTTTCCTTGGATCAGCTGATTTCCTCATTTTTTTTGGTTCACACTCATACCTCATAATTGAAACACACCATACAAAGTCTTGTACAGGTTGGAATTTCCTTGTTTTCTGTCATAGTCCAAGTTGCATGCCTGAAAGTACATGTAGTGAATTCATGCTGATTTGTAGAAAATGAGCATACCACTTCATATATGTACTGATGGTACATGAACCGGTGTCAGTACATGTACATTGAACAGGAAAGCTGTTGGTGCATGTAGGCAGACTTTAACAGCAAAAGATAGTGTACATGTATGTACAGTACTGTAAGATTATAGACATTCATGTACATGTACATGTAATTATGCATGTAGCCTGCTTCGAAAAGGAGTAATGTACCATACTATACTGGTATTTGCCAGTGACGTACATGTATCTTATGCTACTGTTTTTGGTGTGAAAATTAGATACATTTACCGTTACATGTACAAAATGTACATGTACATGTATACAAACTTGTAGCAAGAAAGCAAGACGATTTACTGGAATTTTTTTCACGGTTAATATACATGTACCGGTATTTACAAACAGTACTTACATGTACATGTATTCTGTTATACTATTTTAAAACCATGCTTGTATAGTGCAATGGTGATCCTTACATGTACATGTATGTTTCAAGGAGATTAGGTGTTGCCTTTGTCCAGGTAGTACATCTACATGTAAGAACTACATGTAAGAACTACATGTACATACATGTACCGTACACTGTACATCTACAGTGTTCATGTAGTTAGTAGGAAATCATGCACACCAGTACTTGTAAATGTACATGTACATTGTACTTAGGTGTATGTGTGCATGTGTCACAGGTTTACATGTCCACTCATGGGGAGTGGAACATTTACACGGACTTGTTGAGCACATTGTGCATTTGTACGTTAAGCATCCAGACGTGCGTCTGAGTCACCCATCCTGTTGGTGTGCGTCTGGGGAAGTGAAGGGATTGCTTGGATCTCCTGAAGAGAAGCACTTAAGGAAACTAAAGAACAAGGGCAGTTGGCATTGATGGAATTAACTAAGTTTCCTTGTTTCCAAAGAGAGAATTCAGCTTTTAGAAAGCATCCAGGCATGTCAGAATATACATGTACATGTACCCACAGTGTACATTGTGTGTACACATGTACACTGTACATGTACATGTATAGCCCTTCTACATGTATGCTTTCTCTTTTCACAAACCTTGATTTACATACATGTACATGTAATGCAGATTCTGCATACTATTACTCACTGCTTTTATACTCGCGTACTGTACCCGTACATACTGGTACTAGTACATTGGTGGTGGTTTCGGTACTTGTTACAGAGCAAGGTCACATTGTATTTAAGAAAGCTGTTGATGATCTGATTTGGATGGTTTTAGCCAAACACTTTACTGCTTTGCCTCCTTTAATCTAGCTGCCCAAAACCTGCCATACTCCAACAGCAGGTTTTGTGAGGTTTTGGCAGGTTTGGTACCGTACCTGAGGAAGTTGTTGTTGAATTTTGTGAGACTTGGGATGGTGTTGGATTCTATGTGAGTTAGGACACACACAGGTCACTGTTTGCAGTGTCTGGCTTGCTGTATCAATTGTTGGACTATGCTTGATTTTGTCAGGTTTGGTACTGTTCAGTGCAAGTCATCCTATACTGCATAGACTCATCCATACCATATCACTCAAACTCCAATGGGCTGATTCTGTTGGAGTTTATCAGGTTTGGTACAGTAACCTGCATGTACAAGTACATAGACAAGTACATGAACCTGTTGGATTTTGTGAGGTTCAGTATGCTTTCTAGTGCAGGAGCCTAGGGGGTTAGGGTTAAACTCAACATGCGGAATTTATGTACATACCCTATGCACACCAGGGAAGATCACAGACGTCATGTACCAATTTAAGTCTTCTTGGTATTGCAGTATTTTCCATTTAAGCAAATAGTCTTCCTTCTGGAAATAACCAAGGTTTAGCACATGTAGGGGTACATGTACTTGTACTAGCACAGGATGAAGCTGATTTCTCAATCATTTTCTACTTCTGCACAGATGTATTGTTGTGCTGTATCAGTACCTCCAAAAGTTCTGGGTTTTATGATGATGTGCTGTGCTTGTTCTTGACCGAAAACAATCTGGTTTACTCACGACAAGAAAGAACAAACTAGGTTCTTCCTGAGTCTTCCAACATGGACCGGGAAACCAATAGCACATTTTTCGGGCCTCACATTCTGTACACATTAATTCTTCAAAGTCTTCCATGATTTTGAAGGATTTTGGAGAGTTGGAGTTGGCAGATTACTGTGCATACAGTTTCATGTACATGTATCTAAATGGTTTGGTATTTCTGTGGTTGTCTTTGTTTCAGCCACCTCTGGTGCAAGCTGTGTTCTATGGGGATGCTGATGAGGTCAGAGGCCTGGTGTATATGAATGAAGATGTCAACAGCGCAGTAAGTCCATTGGGGGAAGGGGTCACTTGAACCTCACACCAGTAAAATTGACAACTGGAGGCTTAGAAGAGTGTCTTTGAAGGCTTTCAGATGGAATACCTGTCCCATTTTTGTAGGAGGAGAATTTTAAATATCAGGCCCTCATTTTAAAAAGCCTGAAGTTTCTCAATATACTGGTAACTACTGTATAGCTGACTAGTGAAAATATCAATTGCATCTCAACTTATCTCCGGCTGTACTCAACACGCAATGAAACCCTCCATTAATTGGCTTTGTATGCACGCCCACACACAATGTCCAAGAAATCTGCATGCGACCGTGTGTTGGACTTGGCCACTGTGCACCGCCTAGTGTGGTGTAGCAAATATTGCTCCATAGAAGCACTCCAGAGTGTCAAGAAGTGTGAGGTTACAAGAAGGAAATGTCACACAAATACTGTATATAAGTTACATGTACACGTATGTCTTGCCTTTTTGACAGGAAAAAATTTGGGTCCAAAATAACACTGTCTGTAGGTGACAGAAAGATCCTTGACAATTCCTGTATTTGTCATTGTGTTTCAGATGACAGTTTGTAAGAATTAATTCCATAACGTACATACCATATCAGTCTTAACCCAAACTGTGTATGTAAATCTTCCAAAATCTACCATCATGTATGCTTGAAACCAGTGAGCTAATAATCATGTAATATCAAATCAGTGCTCTGAAATATGTGATTGCCGAGCTTTTGGTAACCCCCTGGATGCAGCGTTCCAATGACGCTTTCCGCAGAATGCAGACAGGGTATGTCACTGAGGGTGTGAAAAGTGCTGCACAGATGTACAGTGTAAGGAACTGGAGCAGCGCATCATTTTTGCACTTGGAACGCTGCATCCAGGGGGAATGAACGTGGATTTTTCCGCGTTCATTCAGAACTGAATCTGCTTGCCCTGAAGAAGGTACTCAGTTACCGAAAGCTCGGCAATCACGTGTTTCAGAGCACTGATTTTATATTATATTCTTGTCGATGATCACGATGCTACACAGCCCTTTCATATTTCTCTGAGCTAATAATCATTGTGCTTTAAGTTTCAAGAGGCACAGACTTTTCCATACCCTAGCAGTGCCTGGACTTCACCCACCTCAGTCAGGCAAACTAGTTGAAATTCTGCTGGAAATATCGGTATCTGGAGGTTGAAGTGTACTTTTGACCCCTTTTTTTTTCCTGAGCCCCATTCATCTGAATTTTTTTAGATCTGGGGAAATCAAACAGAAACCTTGAGGTTTTTGTTTTTTTGTAGGATATGGAGCGGCGTACGCCCATTCATGCGGCAGCCTTCCGTGGTGAAGCCGAGATCGTGGACTTCCTCGCTCAGAGTGGAGCCCGCGTTAACACCAAGGACAGCAGGTGGTTGACCCCCTTACATAGAGCTGTGGCATCAAAAAGCTTGGTCAGTAATCAAACCACTCCACACCAGATGAGCTGTCAATGTGCACAGATTTCCTGTATTGTAACTTGACGTTAAAACACCAAGAAAATTGAGCCAACCACAATTTTTTACCCAGCTGCTTAACCCAATTGTTTTTTTTGACAGTGTAAAAGGTAGCTGAACTACGTTCTATTTTTTGTTTGGCCCAACAGAGCACAGTGAAAATGCTGCTGAAGCACAGCGCCGACGTCAACGCACGGGACAAGAACTGGCAGACGCCGTTGCATGTGGCAGCGGCCAACAATGCCATCGAGATTGCCGACACACTGATGATGCACCTTAGCACGGTCAATGTGACAGACCGGGCCGGACGGACAAGCCTGCACCATGCTGCATTCAATGGGCATGTTAATGTAAGAGAGGGCTGCTCTCGGGCTGAGAGACTCGCTGAATAACTGATTGATTGCAAGCATTCCAAAAATGACCCACACTCAACCCACCGTTCTCAAATGAAGTTTAAGTTCAGGAAAGGCCTTTTAGTTTGAGTGTTTAAAAGAAGAATTTAAGTCTTTTTACAAGTGACGTCAATTTTGATGCTCTGTCCATAAGCACCACGATCCAGTTTCACAGATCTGCTTAGGAACAGTGTCTTATCAATTTACCTTTCCACCTATCCTAAAGACAGGCAAAAGTTACCTAGGACAATCAGTTTTCTCTTGCTCAGAAGTTACAACCTCCCATTTATTTTACAAAACACAGCTGAATAAGTCTTTATGATTCCATGCAAAGCATCAGTGCAATAGAAATATGGACTTATATAGCACCAAGGGGTAATTGTTCCTAATAGTTTGCTGAGAGTCTGTGGACAAGCAGTTTTCAACTTCTTTGAGAAAGGATTGGCAAACATTTAATCCCGTATGAAATCATACGAGGGGGGAGGAATATAGCTGAGCAGAATTTTGTGCTCAGCAAAAATCAGCAGAACACCAGTCTCAAGGTATATACATACTGTGACTTTTTCACTGGTAACCTGTTGTTGCTAAGCAAATATGTTTGTGCTTAGTAAACTTCTGAACTTAGCAGCTCTGAAATTGGTCCTAGAGCTACGTGTATCTGCGTTTGAATAATGGTGAAATCAACAAGGGTACCGGTAGCTTATACTTAGTATGGAGAATTTAATGCAAATTTATGCTAGTGGCATCGCAGCAAGCATTCCGGCTGTAAATTTGTCCAAAATGAATCAGTGTCAAGCCTTGGCAAATTTAGTCTGAAATAGCCAGTGACTTCATAGTGGCACTGCATGTACACATACTCCTGCACCGTGGTTGTGGGCACATGCACTCGACATTCCACATATTTTGTGGGGAGTCCGAAAACGTTGTGGTGACTCAGAAATGTCCCCAACTCGGTCCAAATTTCCCTAACAAAAGAACTTGTCCCCTGAACATCCCCACGTACTTTCACACTGTGTACGAGCTGGCCTCACGGCACACCGTGAGTGACCCCCCACCCCCTTTGGGTCTTGTACATGTGGACAGACTTTCTGAAATTATTTAACAGTTTGAAAAAAAAGCAGTAGGGTTAGTACTATGATGTATTTAATCAAAATATTAACTATAACTAACCCAGTGGAACTAGGAATGCTGAGTGAGGAATTATTTGTTAATTTAGTTGGAATTACCATTATATCGTTTCATGTTGTGCTTTCACTTGTAGATGGTGAAACTCTTAGCATCTAAAGGAGGTACCATCAATGCACAGGACAAGAAGGAAAGGCGCCCTCTTCATTATGCTGCCTACATGGGTATCAAAACACTTCACTCAATTGTAGAACTGAACGACTTGTAGAAATTGAATAGTTGTCAACACACCTGATAATACATCAAGCACAACCTGGACATGCTGACAGTGACTGTGTCCTCAGTAATCAGTGTTTTTGACAGTGACTGTGTCCTCAGTAATCAGTGTTTTTGACAGTGACTGTGTCCTCAGTAATCAGTGTTTTTGACAGTGACTGTGTCCTTAGTAATCAGTGTTTTTGACAGTAACTGTGTCCTCAGTAGTCTGTGTTTTAACAGTTGATGCTGCCCTCCCACATGAAAAGCAAAAGAAATCCAAAACGAACCCAGTCTTTTGGATTAGCTTAACAGGAAATATTTTAGTGAACTAAGCGAATCTAGAGTATCTGTCAGAGCTGCTTATAGAACTCTGTTCATCTCGGCAAGCAACCTGATTAACAGAACTCTCGTTACTGCTCAGTAAATATGTGTTGATAACATCTCCAGGTGATGTCCTTGGGTTATATATTTGTTCAGGTTTATCACTTTATTTATTATGGTTTAAGTAGCTCTTGAAGGTTTGCATGGTGGAATACGATAAGGCAGAGGGTTCGCGGATACACCATGTGGAAAACATCTCTCTTAGTAACCGGTTCTTTTCAGAGCCACACATACTCAAAGAGATATTTTCCACATGGTGTATCTGCAAACCCTCTACCTTATTGTTATGGTTTATTCACATATTTGTGGCCTGAGGGTCTTAATTGCATAAACGGGATAAAATGCAGAAAGACAAATTCACTTAAATAAATACAAGAGTGAGAACATTCATACTAACTCCTAAAACACTGAGCTTGAGTAAAAAGGGGTTGAGACACAGTTATTGTGATTCAAAATGTCAAGGTATGGGAGCAGACTAGTCTGGGTTGCATTTTTACCTTGCACATTATTTTGGATTGAAGGTTCGTACATGTACATGCTTGTTCACAGGGCACGTGGATGTTGTGAAGGCACTCCTGGAAAACGATGCCGACATTGGCTGCAAGGATCGCAACCATTTCACCCCAATCCATGCCGCCTGCGCCAGCGGGCAAGTCAGTGTTGTACGGGTTCTCCTTGACTTTGGGGCCAAGGTTGGTACTTGCTCAGCACTCAGTTCCTGTTGTACTTTTGGTGCCTATGTTGGAGAGTCTTTATATTCTACATAACCTGCTAATAGTTAAACTGATGGTGTCTTTAACCCCTTCACGCCGGGATTCTTTTGACCCTGACTGCTAGGCTGTGGTATGCTTAATATGCAAAGCTTTGTCCAGCAGCAGGCCCCATTGAACCAGCAGCTGCATGGTGAATAGACTGTATGTGTGGTATGCACTAATCCTCACACAAAGCCGCGGCTGTGGAGGGCGATACCATGCACGATATGGGGCTGATGGGTACCCTCCCCACACATGTCCAATCTCTCTACACACTCTGGA